TCTATAGCCCGACACTTTGCAGCACTTCCAGGCTAGTCACTCAGCACAGTACTACTCCTAGACCCTTCATCAAACGAGTGTCCTAGCTATGCCCTGGATCCTCCCTCTATTTACAGAGTAAAGTGCACATAACACTTGCTACAACCACACCGTTTAACACTATCTTTGAGCAATCCACACTCTGCGTCCCTTCTACTATTTTACAACACCTTTTTAACCCCCAGAACCCCTACTCCTTGCCACGCAGTTCAATCCTGAGTGTGAACCCGCTAGCAACAGGTCGCCCATTCCTCCCATCACACAGCTCGACCCCACTCTGCACAACCCTTGAGACTGCAAAGAACCAAGCGCCCTCCCCTGAGCAGCACAACAATCATTTCCCATCCCCTACGTATACACTATCAATACCTACAACGCCCTTCCATATATACACCCGTCTATACACAGCACAATACAACTGTTAGCAATTCCCCTGTCAAAGTCCAAGCTCCGCCCTCTCACTACTGAGCCCTTGGGTGTGTACACCCCAGGATCTACCCTCTATCTATGTTACAATCAATTTCGGTCAGCCATTCTGCTCTTTTACAACACCTTTTATAACCCCTATTCCTTGCCACACAGGTCAATCCTAATTGTGGATCCGCCAGCGGCAGGTCACCCATTCATTCCCCTCTTGTACACAATCAATATCTACTACACCCTTCCATCTATACATTCGTATGTACACTCAGTACAACTATCGACCCATGCAAAGAACCAAGCACCCTTCCCTGAGCACCAAAACAATCATTCCCCATTCCCCTCTTGTGCACTGTCAGTACCTACTGCGCCCTTCCATCTATACATCCGTATGTACACTCAATACAACTGTCGACCCAATCCCCACTTATACTCTGCATCTTCTTCTTAACATGGGCGGTCCACCTCCCCAACATCAGTCCATTCCTGGAATTCACTTCCCTCTTCCGTGCTCACTGCCTGAGCCGTCTCCCGCTCTGGTCTCTCGTTCCCCTGCTCGCGATCTTGTGTCACGTCTTCTTGAATCCCCCCTCTGTCCGGCCTTTCCGCTGCCTGCTGCCTGTCTTGTGTCCCACTTTCCATCTGTTCCACTTCGACCGACATTTCTTCTTCCTGCTGTCCGTCGTATGTCCCATTTTCCGGCTGCTCGGACTCGTCTGGTGGCGCCTGTGGCGAGTCCCCTTCCCCCTGGTCCGGTGAGTCCCCTGCATCCTTGTTGATGCAAAGGCCATCGCTCCATTCCCACCTGTCGGGCTCGATCTCCATTTGTAGTACATCCACGTAGCCCCCCCATGCCTCCCTGAGGAAGGGCCAGCCCCCCTTCTGTTTTCGTTGCATATCTGTCGTGACAGCCGCCTTGAGTTTCCTCAAGAACCAATGTTGTAGTGTTTTCGCCGAGCCTTTCACTCCCTCCATCAGTAGCCTCCCTCGCATAGCCCACATTGCCATCCAAAATGCGCCTCCTATCATGTCCCCTGCATATGCTTGCACAGGGCGAGACACTCCTCCCGCCAATATCTGGCCCACTAGCACCTCCGCCCTATGTTTGGGTGACTCAGGATGTAACGGCACCTTGTCGCCCACTGTGCCCCACCATTCCCAAAACAGTCGCTGCGAGTCACAATCCAGCCACAGGTGCGGTATAGTCTCCTCCTTCTGTCCACAGGCTTTGCAGAGTGTGTCTGTTGCTGCGCTATACGCAGCCATCCATTGGTACGTAGGCACCGCCAGCTGTAGGTTGAGCCACAGGCCCCCCGCCTGTTTCTGGTCCGGCAATCTTGTGAGCAGGGTACAGGCCTTCTCCCACGTTTGCTGCGTCCAACTCACTCCATCCTCCTGTTGCAACCAGCCCTTCTTCCTCCATCTCTCTTTCATCTCGTCTGCCATGTCTGTCGGGGTGTTCAGTGACCTGTATATGACCTTGGTCGTGGTTTGGTGTGGTGGTGTCGCGCATCTCTGGGAATTGGTGGCTTTCCATTCCCACACAGATGGATCCCAGGGGATCTGCAGTGGGTGCTGCCGTATTTTGAAGGGTCTGAAGCTATCCCCCTTCTTCTGCCTTTTGTCTCTCACCACCACCACCGACCGCATATTGTCTTTATGAATGACACCGTCTCTTTGTTCCTGTCTCTTCAGAGGTTGTCCCAGCGCTTCATCCGTCTGTGTCACTTCCCAGCCCTCAACCCAGTACCAGTCCTCTTGATCCTGTGCCTTTATTCTAAAGAGTGCCTCCGGCAGTTCTTCAGAGTTCAAGGCCACCCATTCCCCTTTCGTCCTCCAGTTATGGCTCAGCCTTTGCTTCCATGTCTCCAGGATCGCCTTCCTTACTTGGTCCAATCTCTGTTTTCTATCTGCCTGATGTCTGAGCACCGCCTCCAATTGCGCATCCTCCTTCCATTCACCCTTTTCCTCATCCCATAGGTCCGCCACCCTGTACACCCCACATTTTAACCATTGTCTGCCGAACGCTCCTTGCTCTCCTTGCCATGGGAGTGGATACCCATTTCTGTGAATCTTCGCATTTCCGAACAGTGACTGCCCTAGAATCTGTGTCACCGTTTGTGGTTCCTTCTGTCGCAAAGCCGATCCTTTCCATTTGAGCAGCGTTGGCGATCACAGTTCATGCGCAGTTTCACAGTGCAAAGTGTTCACACTYAGACGTGCATGGCTTAGTCTTTGAGACAAGCATATGACTACTGGCAGGATCAACCAGGTAGCGGGTGTGACGAACAGCCGCAAGGAGCGATGGCCGAGGCGCACGTAGGCACGTCACGCCGGACAGCCTACCAAAAGAACGTCGAACAATCGTGGAACGTGCAAT